GGCAGTTGGAATAAACAAATCAAAGCAAGCTGTTGGAACCTCATCTTTGGGGAAATTGTGCACAAACTTGGATGCACAAGAACATACCTACCTTTGCAGTCTCAGCCACCATCAATCAGATGCAGTTGCTAAGAGAACTTGACCACTACCCAAGAACAACATAGAGTTGAATGAGACTGGAGCCACCCCACACACTCTCTTCTGCCAGAGGGCAACTCTTTTTCCTGTATGAGTTGAATATTCCCTTTGAACAGACTGGCAACTCACAGAGGATTCAGTAGGAACACTGATCCCCAAAGACCTTGTCATTTACAGGCATGTCAGAAGAGTGGCCATAAGACCCTACAGAGGAAGTGGCCTTGGAAGCTGCTCAGACATGCTGTGGGCATCTCTGCTACCCTTCCTTGTCTTTGCATCTTTGCTGTCCATACTAAGAAGATTGAAAGCTGCCAGCAGCCCAATCAAGGTCCTTTTCACTTGAGACTGCATTTTAAAAGAGTTTGTAACTCTTGGGAATCAAATGATTTAGACAAGCTTTCCTCTGCTGGTGTTTTGATCTCATCCAATTCAGTTCTCAAACTACTACATACCTTAATCACTGGCAAGAGTTATTAAGACACAGAATGCTGAGCTATACCCCATATGCTCTGCATTAGCAGGTCTAAGTAGGGCTCAGAAATACCATTTTGAATGAGTTTCTACTGAATGCTGCAATGTTGGACACAAAGAAGAGTGTTTGCTGAGTCTATGCTCAGTAACCGGTGCTGAGTGGGTGGATGGATGAAGAAATAGAAGCATGGCCTTGATGAGTATGAGGACCCAGAAGATGGATGAAGAAATGGAAGCATGGCCTTGATGAATGTGAGGATCCAGAAGGGCCTTTATTTTGATTGTGGAGTGTGCCACAGCATCAAGAGTGGCATTCACTGCCTTGTGCTTTGGAGGTCAAATAGTATTTGAAGAGAGGGAAACATCTGGCAGGTGTCCCTGAGGAATGAGAGATGGGTACAGAGGAGAGAAAGAAGAATCAAAGGGAGGGAAGTAAGTAACCCAGGAAGACATGTGATAGTGAGCCGTCCTGGCAGGAACAAAGACATTCTCAGGAGAGACAGCTGTCGCCCTTCTTTTGGGTATTAGACTATTGAGAAAATGGAACCTAAGAAGTTGGATGTCTCCAGAAATCATAATAGAGGAAGGAAAAGGTTGAGTCTAATGCCAGCCAGAGGAAGGACTTATCTCCTAGGAGATTTCACAGTATGTAACTTATCAGAGCAACATGCAGGACAGACTTGAGAAGACACAATGAATGGTCAGTGATGGGCAGAACCATACCTGCACCAGGACTGCTTAGATAAACATTCTTCTTGCCCTCTATTAAAACTAAACTATTTATATAAGGAGCCCAAAGTTATTCATGAGGGGTCAGTTACAGGACCACTTTATTTGGGCCACATTGAATAAACCTCCTTTATCTCATTTTCCCTATTACATACTTACCTTTTCAATTGGTGATTTGAGGAGAGGTGGCTAAGTCTAGCTTGCTAAGGCTGGAAGGGCCCAGACTTGCACCCCAAAACATTCTGGAACAATGTTGTCTATCCCACACCCAGTCTTGGCTCACCAACAAAGCCTCTCTGTGATATTCCAGCTTCCTGCCTTCCAGAACCAGCTGTCTATTTCCTTTACAGCTATTTCTTGCCCTGACCTTTGCACTTTCTTTTTGTGTGATCTTAATGTCCCTTTACAAAGGGGTCCTTTGGGACATGCTATGGGCATCTCCATTCACCCCTGCCCCTTTGCCTCTGGATATCTGTTGCAAAGTGTTTGCACACATGAGCAAGACCCATGCAGCCGTATCCTACAGCATCCACATAACCATGTCAGAACTGCCTCCAAGGCTCAGGAGCTGTGTGGTCCCATATGCAGGAGCAGTCAGATGAGCTGGAAGGTTTACACCAAAGAGAGAGCCACTAAATGATGAGCAACATAACCAACGGATATGAGATTCAGCACCTTCTCCTCAGGTTCCTTAGAGAGACTACCATGAGTTTTAAACCTGATTGCCACAGTGGTGTATTGTAGGAGGTTTTTGCTCTTTTGGGGGGGGCCTGCCACCCAGCTCCCAAATAAACCATATGTGGAGGCTTATTTGTAATTATGAATGCCCAGCCTTCGCTTGGCTTAGTTTCTTGCCAGCATTCCTTAACTTATCCCATCTACCTTTTGCCTCTGAGCTTTTCCAGTTCTCTTACTTCTGTAAATCTTACTCTTACTCTGTGGCTTGCTGTGTACCTGGGTGACTGGCCCCTGGAGTCCTCCTCCTATGGCTGCAAAATCTCTCCTCCCAGATTTCTCCTATTTATCCTCTCTGCCTGCCTGCCCCACCTATCCTTTCTCTTGTCTTGCTATTGGCTGGTTCTTTGTTAGGCCATCAGGTGTTTTACACAGGCACAGTGACACAGCTTCACAGAGTTAAACAAATGTAACATAAACAAAAGTAATACCTTAAAATAATATTCTACTATAATGATGACAGTGTCACAAGACACATTCATCATTTATCACTGTTACTTCTGTTGGCTTGTCCTCTAACCAATTATCACAGGCACCTAGAAATGACTTAGGCTGGAATTCATCGACTACCTTTCTAACTCAATGTTTTGTGAGTGACTGTTCTCCCAGCCATTCGTCGGTGCTCCCTTGCAAAGGATGAACTCATCTAGGTCTGTTGACTGGTTAGACCCTATCATAGAGGGGCAGAAAGCATCACAAGGCCTCACCTGCTGCCCCCTGACTGTCACCTGTTAGTTATATGCCACACAGCCTGCATTGCACGTGGTCTTGGGAAGACTAGGGGAGAGGGGCTCCCTCCATGTGCATGTGTGGAAGTCCTCATGACTGTGGCCAGTTGAGAGAAGAGCACCCACACAAACAGACCCTACCTGTGCTCTCTAAGGAAGCCCAATAAACTCATTACTTGCTCAAAGAGAACTGGCAGAACCATGTGTTGGTTTGCCCTTGGGACCTTAGGAGAAGAAAGGGACAATGTTTGCTTATCTCCCAGGGGAGGACTTTTAGCAACAGCAGGTAATGAAAAAAGGTTGGCATCTCTGCTTTAATTTTGTATCTGTTTCCTTCAGTCACTTTACTGTCAGTGCTTACAATGCCCTGCTCCAGACCCCCAAAAGGAACCTAAAGCTGTAGTCTCCTCTGATTTCAGGAACAGCAGGGCTGAGCCAAAACATCTTTATGACAAGGTACTGAAACCAGCAACATCCAACCTCCCAGAACGGATAACCATCACTCCAAAACACATCTTATGAGGTTGCACTCCAGGATGGGATAGACCATCTTGTGCCAACCTGCTTCTGCCTTCAAGCAAACACTTGAGGCCAAACCTTGACAAAAACAAACCAGAGCACATTTTGACCAGGGCAGCCATTTTCTCTGCATCTCCCCCTACTTAAACCTAAGCTTATATCAGTGCCTCAAAGATGGACTTGGGACCCCTTTCCCCAGAAAGTCACACTGATTAAGTCTTATCTTTTTGTTTGTTTTATGTTTCACTTTGTTTTTTTAGGGACAGGATCTCTCTGTATATCCCTGACTGTCCTAGAACTCACTCTGTAGAACAGGCTGGACTTGAACTCAGAGATCTGCCTCCCAAGTGCTGGGATTAAAGGTGTATACCACCACCTGGCTTAAATCTTGTCTTTTTATTATCCCTCTTTACTTGGTGTATTAGGACAGGTGACCAAGCCCAGACTTTTGTCCTTTTGCAGTTGATGGCCCTCCTCTGTCTCTACCTAGCCTCATTCCCTGGGATTATCTCCCCAGTAAACTAAACTAGTCTAGACGCTGGAATCGGGAGCCCAGAGATATAGCTCTCATGGGAAAACTTCATAAGCAGATGTATGTCCTTCACATTCTTACCTGAGATGGCAGATGGTATTTGAAAGAGAAAGGTCCTTAGCCAAAGTTCTCAAGCAGCAGAACACAGATGACCCATTTCCCAGTGCAAAGGCATTTACCTCAGTGAAGACAAAGGTTGCTCACGAGTGGAGTGATAAACTTCCTCGCTTAAAAGACTCCAGGCTTTTGTGACCTTGGTCTGATGTTTTCAGATGAGATGTGCCTTGGGGCTGCTATAATTGTTCTACACAGTTCTATCTCAGTGCTATCAAAAATGGGTCACATGGCAATAGAAAGCAATATATAAAAATATCTGCAAAGGGATTGCCCTGGGAAATACAATGAAGATCCAGAAACAGAAAGCCTCAGCTGGGGGTAGCATGAGGGTGACAGGAAAGACTCTCACAGTGTCTTCTATGATCCTCTCTGAGGTGATGTGAACCAGAAACCTGATTTTATAAACTCTGAGCTTTTTCACAGAAATGCAAGCATTTAGCAGCAGGCAAATTCCAGACTGCACTTCAAGAGGGTAATAGCTGAGGCTTTTAGCAGAGGGAAATGAATGGTCACCAGCATGAATATTTCATCATTCGCTCCCCAGGTGCCAGGGGATCAGCAGAGACACATTACACGTAGACTGAGGCTGCTCACAGCTTGCAAGGTAGAAAGTTGAAGGAAAACTCTTGAAATTCAAACCACCACCAATATGGTTTGAGGCAGCTGGATGCCTTGATAGACGTTGAGGGTGTCCTAAAAGGCACTCTGAACCTCAGGCAGATCACTGAAGGTGCTGACTGGGGACCACTTCGCACACCCTTTCAGTCTATGTTCTGATGTGAATAAATTGGCCTACTGGGAGCCTGGAATAACCTTCTCAGATTTTCCCCTCCCACACAAAGATGATAGATGCCAAGGTGGGGAATAACAGTCGATGAAAAAAGGGTGCAGGAGGTGTCTTAGTTAGGGTTTCCATTGATGTGAAGAAGTACCAGGACCAAAACAATTTGAAGAAGAAAGCGTTTATTTGGCTTATGCTTCCACATCACAATTCATCATCTAAGGAAGTAAAGACAGAAACTCATAGAAGGAACATGGAGGCAGGAGCTGATGCAGAGGCCATGAAGGGTACTGCTTACTGGTTTGCTCCCCATGGCTTGTTCAACCTGCTTTCTAATAGAACCGAGGACCACCAGCCCAGGGATGGCACCACCCACAGTGGGTTTGATCCTCCTCCGTGAATCATTAATTAAGAAAATGCCCTACATGTTTACCTACAGCCTGATCTTATGGAGGCATTTTCTTAATTGAGGCTCCCTTTTCTCAGATGACTTTAGTTGTGTCCAGTTGACATAACTATTCATAACTATTCAGCACAATTGACCGCTACACATCACTGTTAAGCCACAACATTTCCTTTCTTATTCTTCTCCAAGTTCTCACACTAAAAATCCCACAGTCTTTACAAATTTAAACACATTAAAAATTCAGTCCCTTTAAAATATCTAAACTCTGTAAAAATCCCAAATCTCTTTTAAAAGTTCAAAATCTCTCAACTGTGGAATCCTGTCAAAGTTAAATATTCTCCTACTTCAAGAGGGTAAAATCAAGATGCAGTCACAATCAGATCAAAGCAAAACCAAATTTATAATACTGTAAATAATGCAATGTCCAATGTCTGGGATTTACTAACAATCTTCTGGGCTCCTCCCAAGGACTTGGGACACTTCTCCAATTTCGCCCTCTGCAGCAAACAGACTTTGTCTTGAAGCTTAGGCAGGCTCCACTCCATTACTGCTGCTGTTCTTAGTGGTCCACCATGGTACTGGCATCTCCAAATGCTGGAGCTTCTCCTGGTGCAACTGGACTGCACTTTTACCAATAGCCTCTTCTAGGCTCTCTTCATGGTACCAAGCCTCAACTTCTCTGCACAACCCCTTCAATCCTGGGCTTTCAACTGCTACTGAGACTGCAGTTGTAGATGAATTTCTAAATGGTCTTATTAAATAAAAAACACGGAGCCAGGGGTGAAAGCCTAAGAGAGATCAAGTAAATAGGGAAAGCCACAGCTAACCTTACCCCATGAACTCAGCAGCTTCCAAATGCTAATGACTTCCTGTCTACCCATGCACATGTCTACCCATGCTGTTCCACCATTGATTTCCTCTCTCCACACAGTTACATCACTTCCTCTTCCTGCCCAGCTCTGTCACTTCCTGTCTGTCTGCACAGACCTACAGACCTCCCTGGTTAACTAGTGTTGGAATTTAAGGCATGTGCCACCACACCTGGCTGTTTCTGTGAGTTCAAGTATGGCCTTGAACTCACAGAGATCCAGACAGATTCCTGCCTGCCAAGTGATAGCATTAAAGGCATGTGCTGCCATTACTGACTTCTTTGTTTACTTATAATGGCTGTCCCTATTCCTCTGATCTCCAGGCAAGCTTTATTTATTAAAGCACAAATAAAATATCATCACATTTCCCCATTTTTTGTCTAATAAAAATAAAAGAAAGTTATAACTAACATAAGAAAAACTGTATACAATAAGTACAATAACTATATACAATATATACAAGCAATAAATACATCAACAATGTCTAGTCCATTTGCAATTGACAAATTCAGAGAAAATATTCCATTCTCTATCCTACTTTGGGAGTCACTTTCTATCTTGTATTACCAAGAGAAAACTATCTTATGATATCTTTCAAACTTACACACTTAACTCCTCTTAGTGAGTTTTTTTTTCTGAATTTCTTAACAAGGAAAACTAACTACAACTATCTAATCTTCAACTCCCTCAGAGACCCAAGAAGGAAATAATATTACCTAGTAAAACAGGAAGTGCAAACAAGCAACTTCCAAAAAATGTGAGTTATGACAGAAACAGTCAGCTGCCTGGATAGTCACCTGAGGTATCTCTGCAACATTGGGGCATCACCTTCGGCCTATAGGCTTAGCATATTTGACAGACTCATTTGTGAAGTAGGATGTACACAAGGCCTTCAGCTTGATCTCACATTCAGTGCAAGTATTCCATGTACCAAATAAACTTGAATTCCACCAGTGTCATGTTGTGATTCAGGACTTTAAATTCTGGAAATTTCTGGTATTTTTGGAATTCATTCTCCCATTCTTCTCTGCTTGTGGGTGGCTTCATTTCCTTTATTAAATGTCAGTCTATCATTGAGAGGTTAGACTCCATCAGCCTAGTTACTTCTCCAAGAATAAGTGTTCTAGCTACTATTCCATTGCACACCAGGAGCCATCAGTCCACTGCCTATTCAGCTGCCTTTGAAGGAAGGGGCACTGTACCTCTCCCAGATTGCAAAGCCATTTCAGTGATGGTGCCATATTGTCCTGGCCTCAGAGGATGTCTGCTGACAAAGCTGCAACCACACTTGTCTTGGCAAGGATTGGCAGTCCCCCCACACACACTTTTGTGTGTGTGTGTGTCCTACTTGTCTATTTTGATAGCATACTGTCAGCAGTTGATGCAAGGGCACTTTCTTGCCCAATGGCTAACTTTTGCCACAATGAAAGTTAACTCTATATGCATTTTCTTCAATACCCATATCTTCTTTGAAGTAGATTGTTGCTGCCAGGAGCAGACATGTCTCATAGTCATAAAAAAAGAAAACAAATCTATGTTATTAAAGCATCTTAAATGCCATATTCTGTAGATCTATGAAGGGTTTGAAGATCTAAAATATATCTCTGCTTGACCTTGAAATTATACGTAATATGACTACAAGTTTGACTGTAATGACTACTAAATTTTGTTTCTCTATATCCTAGTAGTTGGTAATAATAACTTTCAAGGATTAGTAAATTGCATTACATTGTTAAATGAGCTGTATAGGTACAATATCCTGAACAAGATTAGAAATATACATACAATATTTTCTAACAAAATCAACCTCAAATTTGTTATCAATATACATAATTTGTATACAATATACAAAAATTCAATCCAATGTAAAACATTTAAAACTAGTAGTTGCCTTTTAAAAGTAGGTTCAATAATCTTCCTTTTTATCTATATCATATCTATACCCTCTCTTTTTTCTTTTCAAAGTAGATTCAATAATCTACCCTTTATTCCATCATTCCTATATTTTTTTCAAGATTAGATTCAATAATCTACCTCTGATCTATATCCTCTTTTTTTCTTTTCTTTTCTTTTTTTTAAAACAAGAATCTAATTTCCTTTGTTTAGCCTCTTTCCCGAACATTAACAATAACAACTGGTAACCAACCATCCTAAACAATGACAATTATCCCAAACCCAAAACCCATTGAAAGACCATAAACCACCTACCACTCCTCTTGGAAATGTGGGTGTCATGTTCTTAAAATTGCTTCCTGCTGTTTTTGGGCAAAGGCATCTTTACAGGATCCTGAAAAGAAAATTTGGGGTTAATTGTCAAGTCCTGGGAGAGGTAGCTATACCATTTGTTGTCCAGTCTCTGCATAATGCAGAAGTGCAGGGCTTATCTCAAGTCCTCACCTGAATAGTCTGTGAGGCTGGATCATTTTAGCCAGTTAACTTGAAATTGTACTGAGCGGTTTGTTGTTCAAAGTTGATCTTTGGGTGATGTTTGCCAGCTTAGTAGTATTATTATTGTCCATGTGGAAATGTTGCTATGGGGCCCCATCATCTTTCTGGAGAATTCAAATTCGCTGTTAGGTCTGGTCATGCTTCCTTGCAGAAAACTGATAGAGACTCCAACACAAAAACATATATAGACAAGCAAATGAAGCCTTGTTTCTAGAATTAGTTAGTACTCTATATGAATATTAATATCATAACAAAAGTTTAAAATATATATATATTAATCTTAAAATTTTGATATAAAATTCATACCTTAAGAAAAGTTTAAAGAATCAAAATAGAACCAAAGAATTGAGATTAGTGGCAATAGAATAGTCCCTTAATTTTGATTTTCTTCTGTCCAATATCAGATGGCTCTTCTGAAATGATACAGAGATTTTTGGATTTTCCTTTTAACAACATACTAGGGTTTAGAGAAGAGAGCCATTCTCCAACTCCAAAGCCAGATTTGATTTTTAACTGAACTGGGACTGCAAAAAGACCATTTGTGATAAGTGTCTGTAGAGAAGAACAGAAACAAACATTTAGGAAATCTTACAAATTTTATATGTGCTATACCAATAGGCCAATTTACTCTATTTCTTATGACATTTTTTCTGGATGATTTGTCCCTTTTCTTCAGATGTCTCATTTGTCCAGTGTTCTTCAGATTCCTTAGACTTCATTCTCCTGAAAAATAAAAACAAAAATCTTTCCCCAAGCCTAACTTTGGGGAGGGTACCTTTGGGCAAGTTATATCTGATTAAATGAAAAGCATTTGTTAGTTGTGTAAGTTAATTTAAATTTGATAATTATGCTGGCTGATGAACAAATTGCCTCTTCTAATTAAGAGATCTCTTGTTAAAATTGACCCTTTATCGATTTTGATGGTATTCATAGCTTTTCTTCTCCTATAGAGACAAAAGCAAAACATTGTGCCCAATGTAACACATATCCTGATTTCAGTTCTGAGGTCAGCACATCTTTAAATTATGTAGGCTTATTTAATTCTGTATTTTTTTCTATTATCCAATGTCTCTCTGCAGCTATTGTTCCTTTCTCATTGGCATTGAGAAAATTCAAAGTTAATAGAGCATTATGTAATCTATTTATGGGGGTTTTGTTACCCCTTTCTGTTTATGTAGCATATCCTTTAGAGTCTGATCTTTCTATGACTGCTCGGCCTGTAGGATTATATGGTATACCTGTAATATGCTTTACATTGTAATAAGCAAAAAACTGTTTCATTTTAACAGAGACATATGCTGGAGCATTGTCAGTCTTAATTTGTAAAGGTATCTCCATGATGGCCATAACTTCTAGCAAATTCATGATTATAGAATCAGCTTTTTCAGAACTCAAAGCAGTTGCCCATTGAAATCCTGAATAAGTATCAATGGTATGGTGTACATATTTCAGTTTTCCAAATTCTGCAAAATGAAACACATCCATCTGCCAGATTCCATTCCTTTGAGTACTCTTTGGGTTATAACCTGCTAGTAGTAGAGTCTGATTGTAAAAAGAACAAGTAAGACATTTCCTTTTAATTTCTGTGGCTTGTTGCCAGGTTATGGAAAAATCCTTTTTAAAACCTTTACTATTGACAAGATGATTTTTATAAAATTCTGAGGCCTCCAGAACATTTCCTATCAATAGTTTATCAATCTCATCATTACCTTGTACTAGAGTGCCTGGCAGACTCATATGAGATTGGATGTGAGTTATCTATAAGGGATGCTTCCTATTCCCGATTTTTACCTTGTAACTGAATAAATAACAAAGCTAATTCTGACTCATCAGGGATAAATTCTACAGTGTCAAAATGCAAGAATACTCTTTTAGCATACTGGGAGTCAATAATTATGTTGAGAGGTTCTGAAAAATCCATCAATGCCATCAGAATAGCATACAATTCCAATTTTTGAACCAAATTATAAGGGCTTTGAACCACTTTACTTAAATTCTCTGGCTTGTAACCTGCCTTTCCTTGTTTGTTTGCATCTATATAAAATGTATGAGCTCCAGATATGGGTGTCACCCAAACCATGCGAGGCAGATTCCAACCAGCTCTCTTTATAAGTTGAATTCTATCACTTTTTGGATGATTGCTGTTAATCTCTCCCAAAAAATTACTGCAAACTCTTTGCCAAGGTTCACTTTCTGTCCATAATTTGTCAACGTCATCCTTAGTTAAAGGTACTACAATTTCTGATGGATCTATTCCTGCTAGTTGATGAAGTCTCAATTTTCCTTTTAAAATCAAGTCAGAGATCTTTTCCATGTAAGTTTTTTATTTTTTACTCTGTGTATTTGGTAGAAATATCCATTTCAATATAATATCTTCCCTGTGCATTAAAATTTCTGTAGGAGAATGCTTAGAGGGTAAAATAACCAAAATGCAATCAAGCTTTGGATCCACATGTCCTTCTTGTACTTTCTTTTCCACCAAGGTCAATTCTCTCTAGGCTTCAGCTGATAATTATCTTGGACTATTTAAGTCCTTGTCACCTACTAAAGTTCTGAACAAATTACTCAGTTCATCATTTTTTTTTACCCCAAAAACAGTTCATATATAGGAAATGTCTCTGAATAATCTTTGAAAGTCATTAAGAGTCCGTAATTGATCTCTCTTAATTTACACCTTTTTGTATCTATTTTTGTAGACCTATTTTATATCCTAAATAATTAATAGAATCTCCGCTTTGTAACTTTTCAGGAGCAATTTATAATCCCCAACAAGGCAAAATTTTCTTTACTTCTTCAAACATTCTTTCTAAGTTATCTGCATTTGAATCAGCTAGTAAAATACCATCCATGTAATAATAAATTATAAATTTAGGAAATTGTTTACATATTACTTCCAATGGCTATTATACAAAATATTGGCACAGGGTTGGGCTATTTAATATTCCCTGTGTGAGAACCCTCCATTGATATCTCTTAACTGGCTGAGAATTATTATAAGTAGGCACTGTGAAGGCATTTCTTCTTCTGTCTTTTTCTTGTAAGGGTATTGAGAAGAAACAGTCTTTTAAATCGATAGCTATAAGAGGATATTGTTTAGGTAATAAAGTAGGCAAAGGAATTCCAGATTGTAGAGAGCTCATTGGCTGAACCACTTTGTTAATTGCTCTTAGGTCTGTTACCATTCTCTATTTACCAGATTTCTTTTTAATAACAAATACAGGAGAATTCCAAGGGCTGGTTGATTCTTCAATATGCTGAGCATTTAACTGCCGTTGTACCAGCTCTTCTAAAGCCTGCAGTTTCTCTGTTGTTAAAGGCCATTGCTGAACCCATACAGGCCTGTCTCTTAACCATTTTAAAGGTAGAGTTGTTGGTGTCTTTGAAAGATAAATAGTTGTTGTGCCCTGTTCTTGTACAATCTGGATGGCCAGTGACTATTCTTTATAATAATGCCTCCTAATATTTCTCTCAGAAACATGTGTTAGTTTATGGTTTGTTTCTGTGATTGGAGGAATGTTAATCTGAGTATTCCATTGTTGTAATAGATCACAACCCCATAAATTCATAGCTATATTAGCCACATATGGCTTTAATTTTCCTCTCTGTCCTTCTGGCCTTATACATTCAAGCCATCTTCTACTCTGTTTCACTTGAGATAATGTTCTAATCCCTAACAGCTCAGTATTTACCTCCTGAAGAGGTCAATTTGGATGCCAAAATTCTGGTGCAATTATTTTAACATCCACACCCATGTCTACCAAAACCTTCCAAGAAAATGTTGTTTATTTGCATTTTTAATTTTGATCTTTGTTTATTTTTAGAAGTTTTCCAAAAAATTCACCTTGTGGTTTCTCCTGAATTTCCTGTTCTCTCTGCTATAGCTGTTCTATCACCCTGAACAGACTGGTTTATTCCAATAGGCATTTGGTTATTTAATTGCTTTGAGAAGGGATTTCTTCTATGATGGCAGGATAGATCTGAACTGAATTTGCTGTGGGGGCCTTCATGAGTCCTCTCCAGGGCTTTCCCGGGGGCAGAGGCAAAGGATTACCTTGTCTGTCCCTTGTTGATCTACATTCATTAGTACAATGTTTACCCTTACCACACCTTCTGCATAATCCAGAAGGGAGGGGCATTCTGTTGCCATTATTCCTTGAATAAACATTGTTTCTAGGAATGCCCTGTTATAGTCTCTTTTCAAATGACCTTGTTTACCTCAATTAAAACATCTGACATTATTATTTTTCCACAAAGCTTTTGGTATCACCTCTCCTATCCACATATCATTATGGTCATGAGACTCAAAATGAATTGTGTACACCTGATCCAATTGTCCAAGGGTGCTAATCTTGCCTTTAATGGCCTGATTATTCTTTTGCATGCTGTATTTGCATTCTCAAAAGCCAAAAGTTCAATTATTATCTGTCTAGCTTCTGAATTTGGTATCATTCTATTTACTGCTGAAGACAGCCTTTGTAAGAAATCCATGAAGGATTCTCTGGGGCCTTGTATAACTTTCATAAGTGACTCAATTTTTTTTTCCTGCTTCCTCAATTCAGTCCCAGGCATTCATGGCTGCCATGTGGCAAAGAATTAAGGCTTGGTTATCATATAAACATTGTCTTTGTATATCAGCATAATTGCCTTCTCCAAGAAGCTGATCCTGGGAATCCACACCTCTAGGCTTACATTGTTGTTCTATTGCTTTAGCCTCCTCTTTAAACCAGGTTCTCTACTCTAGCTGTGGACCAGACCCTAGGGCAAGCTGTAATTAATTCTTTCCAGTCCTGAGGGATAATTCTATTACAAGTTGACCATGAGTTTAACTCTGCTTTACAAATGGAGAGTGCCTGCCATGTGATACTATAGCTTCTTTAAATCTCCTTAAATCTAACATTTCCACTGGAGTCCATTTAGCTTGCTCATGCCCTTGAGCATTTGGCAGTTACTGTAAGGTTACTGGATAAATTAAGTTTGGTTGTTTGAAAACAGGCTGTCTTTCTGTAACTGTATAATTCAATCCTGAGATAATTTCACCACTAATTATTCTGTCTGGGTCTGAATTTCTCTATAATCCATTTTAACAGGTTTTTCTAAAGTCAATCCTGATTTAGGCTCACCTTTAAATTCTCTTGTCTGAGTCTGAATTTTTCTAAGAT